CACCGCTGGATCACCCCCCTCCCACTGCTGGCACCCCCCTTCCCTCCCCCCAAACCCAGGTACACCCCATCTCCTGGTTATCCCCATCCCCTTCCAAGGAATCTGCTCTGCCCCTCTTCCTGCTAGGCCCCAAAAGCTTGGAAACAGCTAAAAAAATATAACAAACCCACATGGTCTTGTTTTTTTTCCTGCTTGTTTTCCTGCTTTAGGAATTCAGGTCATGTCTCCCCTCTGGGACCCTCTGGGGACTGAGGAACAGCTGGAATGATATCAAATAACCATGGAAAGAAGGAAAAATCCTTTTTTTCACCCCAGATTCAGATTCAGGGCTAGGGGATCCCATCCCATGTAGTTAATGGGTTATTTAATTGTATCCTGAGCATTTGGCTGAAATTTCCAGGAATTTGGGGCAATGGAGAGCATCATCCCAGCAGAGCACGTGGCACTCAGCCAGCACTGCCAACACTCATCCTGGCGGATCATTGGGCAACGAAGGGAAACCACAGGGTGGTTTGGGCAAACAGAGAAATTAATCCCCGTTAATTAGTAAATTGGCTTTGTTACCTCCTGGTAAACCCTGTGTGAGCCGGGGGGGGACTCCACCGTGCCTCGATTCCCAATCTTTTTATGGGATACACGGCCCTTCCCTGCTGCGGTTCCAGCAGGCTGGAGGATCCCACAATGTGGCAAGAGCCTGGGTGATCCAGCCAAGCCGGCGGGCAGGGAAAACCTGTCTCCTCCCCACGTGTGCTGCGTGTGCCGGGAATGCTGGTGGGATGGGAGGGAGGCCCCGAGGAGCCGCAGTGCTGGAATGTTCCCCCTCGCCGCCGGCGGGATGGGCACGCCGGGACGTGCCTGCTCGGCTCTTGGCGTGTGTGTGATTCCATCCTGGCACGGAAACGCATCCTTGCTGGAATGCCGGGAGCATCCCGCCTGCTCCCGGAGTGCACCACCCCACTGGGTTTCATCCCAACCTTGTGTATGGACCCCCCTTCCTAAGGAGGATCCTGCACTCCTCCATAGAGGAAGCAGGAAGCTACCCCACACTGCCAGTTCTCATCTCCGCAGTGCTTTGCAAACAGTAACTAATTAATCCTAATTAACTCGTTACCTAATTAGAGCCCAAGGGCTCTCCCCTTTGCAGGGAGATGGGAAATTCTGGCACCTCAGGGGATTTTTTTTTCCAGCCCAAAACCTCCATGTTTGCTTCACACCAGCATCAGACCGTGCCCTTTGTACTCTCCATTGCTGCCAATCCAGGGAGAAAAACCTACTTTTTGGGGTTGCTAATGCCAAGAAGCCTGGAATGAGCATTTCCCCTCATCTGGATAGCTGACACTGGGAATACTGGCATCCCCAATGCCTGCTGTGCCCACCCATCCCAGGGGAGCCCACTCTGGTGGGTGCTTTCAACCATGTTTTTATGTAAAACACGGGATTTTTGGGGAAGGAGACAAGTAGGTGGGTGGGATGAAGGTGTTTCCCAAAGAATTCCCTTTTCATGTGTGTGCCATGATCTGGGACACAGGCTTTGGGAGCACTGGAAAAGTTCTAGGGGATCCCAGTGTCACCACTCAGGAATCACATTTCTCACCGGAAAATCCCAGTTTGAAACCCATAAAAATCTCCTTTTCTCTGCTGAGTCAGCTGGAGCTCCTGGATGGATCTGGTGCTGGTGGAATAGGAAGGACACACTGCTCTGTGCAGGTCTAATGGCCTCGTGGCTTTGCAGAAACCCTGTGGTGGTGATTCCAGCATGATTTCCTTCCACTGCCGCCTTCCGTTCCTTTTAATCGCGGTTGGATCTATCCTGGGAGCAAAACCAGCCTTGGAATCATATTTTTTTTCGGCAGGCAAGCACTAATTTCCTTCATTTTCCAGCCTGGGATGGAGCTGGGCATGGGTTTTGTTGTTCTTTTTTTTTTTTTTTTTTTCCCTGCATACCAACCACCTTCCCAGGAAAGGGGCCCCTTTCCCACACCCAAGATTAATCCACCCAAAGTAGGGTCAGAAAAAAAGCCTGGAGTGTCACTTATCCCAGCCAGTCCCAACAAGGAAAATCCCAGGAGATGTTCACCAGTCCTTGGTGGATCCCACAAGCTCAGCAGTGACCCACGCCATCTCCTCCCAGTGCAGATTTGGGATTGGATAACTCCACTCCCCCTGCAAAAAAAAATCAGAAAATGCCTAAATTGGTGCCGAGGTTTAAAACCACCAGTTTCTTAATCACAGGGGGGAAAAAAAATCCCACAGCAGAAGTGAAAGTCCTGATGGAAATTAACCCAGCAAGGGTGAACTCAGACATCAGGGGAGCTCTGGGGGGGGATCCAGGCTCTCCCAGTGTTCCATTTTTGGGTGACACCAATGCTGGGTGGCAACTTCTGGGTGTCAATATCCGAAAATCAGATAAAAAGGGAGTTTTGGAGCTGCTGGCTCAGGTTCTCGGTTGAGTCATGGATAATTAATGGATCTGGGGACCTTCCAGGATGGGGAAGTGCTGGGTGATGGGGGATCCCAGCTGGTGGGTGACAGAGCAGGGGGAATGTGGGGAGGGCAAGGGACAGGCCCAGAGGTCCCACAGGGGATGGTGCCTCTGTCCCAGCTCCATTGCTGTGGCCAGAACCTGTTCCAAGGGTTTTGACACCCCAGGCAGCTGCAAAGCAATGTCCACTCTGTAGGGGAGACCTCTTGGGATCCCATCTCATCCCAATCTTTTCCCATTTCCCACCTCTCTTGAAGGCAACATTTCCTTTCAGGTCATCCCTCTCTATCCTGCTCTGTGACAGAACATTTTGGGAAAACATGAAAAAGAGCCTTAATTTTGTGTTTGGTTTGTTTGGTTTTTTTTAAAGTAATTTTAAAAGTGAAAACTCAGAAGCTCCAGAATGAGTCCCCTGGACTAGGAGAAGAGGAATGGACGGGATTTTCTCTTCCTTCCCCTGTGTGCTGTGTCTGTGGATTTGGGGAGCTGTAAGAGACCCCCAGAAGAGCTGGGGGGACCCTGAGATTGGGGGAGACCCTGAGAGGGGCTGGAGACCCCCTGGGAAATGGGGAGGATCCTTAGGGTGATGAGGAGGTACAGGGAGGACTGGGGGTGTCCCTGAGGGGCTGTGGAGCCTCAGAGAGGGGCTGAGAGGGGGAAACTGAGGGGAATTTGGGGGTCTAGAGGAACTGGGCGGGGTGAGGTATTAGGGGAACTAGGAAGGGCTGGGATCTGCAGGGGGCTGAGGAGATTTTGGGGGGCTAAGGGAGTTCAGGGGGATTGAGGAGAACTGAGAGGGGCTGAGGAAAACCAAGGGGGCTGAAGAGAATCAGGAGTTCTGAGGAGCTTTGTGTGGGAAATGGAGGGGTGACAGCTTGTGGGGGCCTGAGAGGAATTGGGAGCATGAGGAGCTTTTGGAGGGGCTGAGAGGAATGGGGTGGAAGAGTTTTAGGGGAGAGGAGGAGATTTTGGGGGGATCTGATCAGATTTTGAGGAGTCTGAGGAGATTTGTGGGGCCTGAGGAGATGTTGGGGTGGTCTGAGGAGATTTGGGGAGGTGGGGACATTGAGGAGTCCTGGAGGTGCTGAGGGAACTTGGGGGGGTGAGGAGATTTGGGAGGCCTGAGGATTTTGGGGTAGTCTGAGGAGATTTGGGGAGGTGAGGACATTGAGGAGTCCTGGAAGTGCTGAGGGAACTGGGGGGTGTGAGGAGATTTGGGGGGGCTGGAGGAGGCTGAGGAAAATGGAAGGAACTGAAGGGATCTGGAGGATCTGAGGAGCTTTGGGGGGATCTGAGTGGAACTGGGGGTCTGAGGAGATCTGGGGGATCTCTGAGATTTGGGGGTCTGAGTGAAACTGAGGGTCTAGGGGGATCTGGGCATTTGAGGATCTTTGGGTGGCATAAGAGGAACTGGGGGGCTGAGGAGATTTGGAGGCTTCGAGGAGATTTTGGGGGATTCCGAGGATATTTGGGGATGTGAGGACACTGATTAGTCCTGGAGGCAGTGAGGGAACCATGCGGTTGAGATTTGAGGGATCTGAGACTTGGCAGGGTCAGAGGAGAACTGAGGAGATACAGGGCATTGAGGAACTTTGGGTGGGCTGAGGGAAAATGGGTGTCTGTGGAGATTTTGGGGGTACTGAGGTGAACTGAGTGGGCTGAAGAGATTTGAGGGTTGCAGAATTTGGGCAGGTTGGTGATGCTGAGGGAGCGGGGCAGGCTGAGAACAGAGGGGATCTGGGGGGTGAGGAGACTTGAGGGAACCAGAGGGCTGAGGAGATTTGGGGACCTGAGGGAACCAGGGAGCCCTGACAAGGCTCGGGGGGCTGCGGAGGTTCGGGGAGCCCTGCCGGGGCTGAGGGGGTGTTGGAGTCTGAGGGAACCGGGGAGCCCCGACAGGGCTGAGGGGGCTCGAGGGGCTGCGGACGTTCGGGGAGCCCTGCCGGGATTGAGGGGGTGTTGGAGTCTGAGGGAACCGGGGAGCCCCGACAGGGCTGAGGGGGCTCGAGGGGCTGCGGACGTTCGGGGAGCCCTGCCGGGATTGAGGGGGTGTTGGAGGCTGAGGGAACCGGGGAGCCCCGACAGGGCTGAGGAGGTCTGGGGGAGCTGTGGACACTGAGGCGTCCTCCCGGGCCTGAGGGAATCGGGGGCTGCGGAGCTATGGGGAGCCCTGCCGGGGCTGCGGGGAGCTGAGGGGGCCTGGGGAGCCAAGAGGGCTTGCAGGGCTGCGGACACCGGGGACCCCTCCGGGGGCTGAGGGAGCCGGGGCTGCGGACACCGCGCACCCCTCCCGGGGCTGAGGGAGCCGGGGCTGCGGAGCTCCGCGGAGCTCTCCCGGGGCTGCGGCGCTTTCGGGGGGCTGCGGGCCCCGGGGAGCCCTTCGGGCCGGGGTGCCCCAGCCTAGCTCAGCCCAGCCCGTCCCTGGGCGGGCGGTGGCGGCGGCGGGGCCGGGCGGGCCGGAGGCGGGGGCGGCGGCGGGGGGGCGGCGCGGGGCTCCATCTTCCTCCGTGCGGCGGAGCCGGCGGGACGGCGGGGCACCATGGCTGTCGGTATAGGAAGTGTCTTTTTTTTTTTACCTTCCCCCCCCTCGCTTTATTTTTTTTTTTTTATATCCCTCATCCCTCCCTTTCCACCCCCCCGTTCCCTCTCCAAAACACCTCAAAACCCCCCGAAACCCCCCTCACCCCGGGGGCGAGCGGGAAAAGGGGGACCTTCACACACTCCCCCCTTCCCCCCCCGCCCCCGCGCTGCTTTTTATTCATTTTTCATCTAAATCAATATTTTAAAAAAATTTCCCTCCTTTTTTCCCCCCTCACCCCCCCCCTTCCCCCTCCCCTCAGCCCTGCAGAACATGGCGTCCCCGTCCTAGCGTTTTAAAAATAAGCCGGGGCTGCCATTTTTGTTTGCCTTTTGTCTGCGAATTTTAATAAAAACGTCTGAGAATGTGGGAGAGGCGGCGGATGGAGGGGGGGTGGGGGGAGCACCCAGCCGGCCCACCCCCCCTTCCCCAAACCCCCCCTTCCACCCCCATCCCCCGGCCTTTTTGTCTGGCAAAGCCCCCCCCCCCCCTCCGCAAATCCCCTCCCAGGTTGAGGATTTCAACTTCACTTAACCAAACTTCGCCTTTTTCCACCTCTTTTTTTTTTCATTATTATCATCATTATTCCGCCAACCCCCCTCCAAGCAGGAAGAAGAAGGAAAAGAGAGAGAAAAAAAGGGGGGAAAAGCGGGGGGAGCATCGAGGAAAATACCCATTTACCAGGATTTTCCCTTTTTCTTTCCCTCTGGATGGTCTAATGGAAAAGTTAATTGCAGCCGAACGTACCTATTTTTGTGGATGTTGCATGTTTTGGGGGGGGGAGATTTGCTTTTTTAATGCATTCTTGGCTTTTTTTTCTGACTTTTTTTGCTTACAGGAGGTGGCAGAAGCAGCGCAGGGGCTGAATATTATCATTACCATCATCATAATCACCATTATTATAATTTTCACCATTTTAATTCCTTTTCTCCTTCCTCTTCTCCTCCTTTTCTTCGCTGTTTTCTGCATTAACTGGTTTTGTCTAGAAAAGTGGTCTCGCTGGCTGGAAGGTCTAATGGAGGGGGGAGATATTTTTTTCATGGCGTTTTTGGCAGGAATGCGGCAGCTTTAGCGAGGGACCCAAATTTCTGTGGCTGTGTCCCAGAGGTCTGTCTGTCCCTCTCCAACATATATTTAGCCATATACTATTTATACATCCATAATCTCCCGGCCACGTCGGGGGGCCTGGGGGGGGGAGCTTAGAGCTGGCGTGGCCACAGTGATGGATTTGAACCCAGGAATGATGAATTCGATGATTTTGATTTCTTTTTCTCCCTTCAAGGTTGGAGGATGCTCCTTGTTGGGTTATTTTTCCCCCCCAAGCCTGCGGTCCTTCGGATAGCAGCCGGGTTTTTTAACCTGGGGAGGATGGAGCAGGTGAAAGCGGCTTCGAGCCTGAGGCCTTTGAGATTATAAAGTGATATTTTAGCAGAGAGGTAAAAAAGTTTTTTTAAGTCCCTCACGGCGTGCGATTTGCCAAGAGGCGGAGGGTCCAGGGCAAGGGGATGGATTTCACCCCCAGTTTTCCAGCCAGCTCCCCATCCCTCAGCTTTCCCAACACCTCGGGGGGTGAGCAGGGCTATAAAAAAAACCCACTATTTTTTATTTTTTTGTTTTTGTTTTGTTTTTATTTTCCTTTTTTTTTTTTTTTTTGTTGTTTTCTCTCTATTTTCAGGCAAAACCCCACGTTCCCACGGGTCGGGTAGGTCGGAGCCGCTTCGCTTTTGTTCCTCCGCTGTGGGATCTCGCGCGCCGGGGGCTGGCGGGGGGTTCGGGGTGTGTGAAGTTGTCCTCCTCCTTGTCCCCCCGTAGAAAAACGCCCCACGTGCAGCACCCGGTCTCAGCTAGAGCTGGAGATGGACGCGGATAAGGGGAAGCAACGCCAGTACTCGCAGAGGTGGGCATGATGGCTGGATGGAGGGGGATCACAGGGAGGAAAAGAAAAAAACAAACCAACAAAAAAAGCCCTGCTTTTGTACGTTTACAGCTTAAAATAGCATCTAATGCAACGGTGTGCATGCATGTGATGATGTGTGTGCTTATGAAAATAATATATATATATGTGCACACCAGAATCCAGGTATTATATGTGTATATATATTTCTGTATAAGCGGGGGCATGGTGTTTTTTGGGTGTATTTTGGGGGTGTGAGGGACTCCTTGCCTACCCCCTCTGCAGGGAGGGGACCCCGCTCCCAGCATATGTGTGGACCCCTTGATACAATATTTCCCTTTTAAGTAATGTGCCTTTATATGCGTAAAATAATAACGTTCACCCTCAACCCCCCCACCTTCTGCTTTTTCCCTTCAAAATGTGGATTTTTGGTCATTGGGCGCGATGTCAGGACAAGTGCATGTTGGATTCGGTGCTCTCACTCCCTCCTCGGGGTGATCCCCTGCCTGTGCCTCGGTTTCCCTGCGTGCTGTCACCCAGGGGTGACCCCCCCGTGCTGCTGGGGGTGGGCATTTGCCCCAGGCTGATTTGCGGTGCTGCCTTTGCCTTGCAGGGTGCCTGGCTGGTCTCTTTAGGGGGAGGTGGATGTATTTGAGGTCTGGGGGAGCAGGGCCCCCTCAGGCTGGGGAGTGCTGTGTTTTGTGGGGCATGTGTGCCCCGTGTCTGGTGTGTCACCTCATGGGCTCTGGGTCTGCCTGCGGGCTGTCCCCGTGTCCCCTCTGCTGGGTCACTGGACCCAAACTGTGGATTTGGGGTCACACTGCCTTGGCCCCCATCCTTTGGGAGTGCTGCCACCCTGGTGCCCCCTCCTCCCCCCCCGAGTTGGGCACCGTGTGGGGGTCTCCAGCGTGGCTTTGCCTCCCCTCCCGCTTGCCACTGGTGCTTGGTTCCTCACTCTGCCCCGTGCACCCCTTTTCCTGCGCGGGGACCCTCGGTCCAGGCTGGGGGCTCATTTTGGGTTGGTTTTGCTGGAAATGCAGAAGGAGAAGCCCCAGCCCAGGGCCCTTCGGGGGGCGGAAGCCGGGGGTTTAATTGGTTCCATCTTGGGTGAATTCTTGTGGCGTGCAGGCCACCCCCTCCCCGAGCCACAGGGGGCTCGCCCGGCGTTCCTGCTTCGCAGCCATGCCTGCCTTCTGCCCCTTCGCCCTGGGCTGAATCCTTCCTGCATGAGGACACTCTGGGCAGGAGGGATGTGCGTTCCCTGAGGATGGTGCTAGATGCTGCTTCCTACCCTGGTGGCTTTGGGATGCAGGTTTTGTGGATGGGCGCTTGCTTTCCCTCCAAAACTCCCCCTGCTCCAGGTGAACCCCAGGGAAACTTGTTCTTAAGAGGAGACAGCAACCACGGCCTTGTGTTTTGGGGGGGAAACTGAGGCATGGTGGAAGGCAGAGCTGGGTTCCCTGGTTCAAGGAGCATCCCTGGAGTGGGCTGTGTTGGGAAGGACGTGCTGGGGTTTGGTGGGGAGCGCTCAGGGTACATCCATGCCCCGGCTCGGTTCTCCCCGTGCGCCGTCTCTGGCCGCCGCCGGCTTTCCTGCACTCGCCGCTTGCCATGGGGGGTGGGACCTCTGCCCTGATGCTCTTGCTGGGATACTTGGGGACACCAAACTCGCTGTCTTGCTCGCTCGAGGACACGTTTAGCTACCAAGTGCTGCTCTGGTCACCCCGAATCCCTCCCCTGTCCTCCCAGACCCCCCACTTTCAGGCTGTACCAGGTTGGTGGTCGCTCACCGGTCCCTGGGAGCTGCCCCTTTTCTCTCGGCGGTGGCGTGAAAAGAAATCTCTTGTTTCTTTTTATTTCAGCGAAGGCGAGACAGAGAGGGCTGCCAAGGTAGAGGCGTTCCCTAGAGAACTGTAGCTTGACTTAGCGGCAGTTGGGTAGGAAGTTGGAAGGCTCTAGTGAGCTCGTGCCCACCCGTGCCATCATCTACCTCCCATCAATCTGGAGCCTCAGCGACACGTCTCCCCAGGCAGCTGCGCCCACCTGGCTCCAGAGGCCACCCTGTGAGTACCAACCACCGCCGACCCCGACGGCCCCGGCACCGCCGCCCCCTCGCTGCCACCGCCCCCGCTCTCCCCTCGCCACCCCCAGCCCTGGCTTGCCGGCTTCTCCCGCTCTTCCCTCCCCGTGGGTGCGGAGGCCTGGAGGATTTTGGTCTCTTTTTAGGGTGCTGCTGCTTCCCCCCTTGGCCCAGCTGAGCGGTGATGCCGGGTGCTGTGCTGTTCTGGGGAATTTGGGTTTCAGCCCATGGTTTTGGGGCTCCGTGCATCTTCCTGCTTTGCTTTTCCCACATCCCTCTCCTCTGGCTGGGCTGCTTGGGTCTCCACCATGCTTTGGGCACCCACCTTGTCCCTGGGGATAACCTTCGACAACCCCTCAGCAGCCAAATCTGGTGCCTGTGGAGGATGTCAGGGGCTCTTCCCACCATGGTTTGGACCACAGGACCCCAGGCCACTGGAGATGTTACCCAAGAGATACCCCCTGCCCAGCCAAAAAAACTGGGGGGGCACAGAGAGCCCTACCACCCTCCCGTGCCCTGCAGAGCTGGGGGGAGACGTGCCGCAGCATTCCCTACCCTTCATAATTTCCATTTTAATGGATTTGCTTTTTTTTCCACCTTTGCTGCATGTCAGCTTCCATTTTTCATAGTTAGCTGAGAATAGAGAAAAAGGGAGTTTTTATATATATATATATATATATATATATATACTTTTTTTTCCATCTGCCTTCTTCCCCCTCCCACTCCGTTTCCCAGCCCCAGAGAACGGGACGCCGCTCCCGACGAAACACTGCACAATTTGTAACATTAAATCGGGACAGGAACAGGGATTTTTATAATTATTTTGGCAACGCCGACCATTTCTTCCCTCTTGTTCATCCAGCTCCGAGTGTGGTGGTTTTGCAAATAATTTCTCATTTCTTTAGTAAGCCCTCCTCAGGTGGGGGTGGGGAAACACGTGATATTTGTGCTTTTCTCCCCAAAATACCCTTTGTGCCTCTCCAGCTTTGCAGGAAGGATCCTGGGACTGATGTAGGGTTGGTGCTGTGTCCTGGTGATGGTTTGGGGGCCACACTGGTGGCTTTGATCCGTCTGGGTGCTGCTGCTGGCTCCGCTGGAGCCCGGCGTGCTGTCGGGACAGGGAGGAGGATGGACAGATGGACGGATGGGAAGGACAGAGGTCACGGGGCACCTGCTGAGATGGGGGATCAGCTCCAAAAAACCCTTTTCTAATCATAGCTCCAGTTTCCTGTTTTCCCACGGCTGCTCTGGGCTGGGGGATTGCTGCCGGGGTGCTTGGTCATGCCTGGGGGGCTCTGAGCCCTCCTGCCTGAGCTCCTGCTCCCTGCCTGTCTCTGTACAAGGCATTCCCTGCTGCCAGCTCTGCTTTTGCCCCTGGTTCTCGGTGTCCAGCCCCTCATGCTGGCACTGGCATCCCTCATCCCGTGCCCATCATCCCAAGAGATCTTATATATGTGTGTATATACACACACACACACACACGTAGCCAGTGGGTAAATGCACGCTGTGGGCGGCCTGTGGGTACAAATATAATCACACAAAGGAGCTGGCAGCGCCTGCGTCCGTGCTTGGGAAGGTGCATTTAACATCCCCAGCGAGTTCCTGTTCTGTGGCTCCCCCTGTGCCACTGGGACCTGGACCTGCTGTCACTTCCAAACCCTAAAATTCGGTGCTTGAGCAGCAGGAGGTGACCTGGAGTGGTTCAAGACTGGGAAGGGGAATTCCCAAAGCTGATGCCTGGGTGGTGTCCTGGGCAGTCTGTGGTGTTGAGGTCTGCCATGGGAAATTGCTGCCTTTCCTTGATACCCTGGAGCACACCCCGTCCTGTGCCAGGCTGCTCTGTAGTGCAAGGGGCAGGTGGTTCCTTCCTCCCTGCCTTGGTTTCCTCCCAAAATGGGCACGGTCCATCCCACAGCTTCTTCAGGCTGGGGCAGCTGCTGGGATGTTACATTCTGGTGGGACCAGGATTCCCTTTCTCTGGGTGGTGCCCACCAGCCTATGGGGAGCTCAGAGCGTGTTTGAAACCTGGGGCAGCAGGTGTGAGGAGGAAGAGGAGGAAGGCTCATCATCCCCAAATCCTGCCACCCCCAAAGCTTCTGGGGATGCAGGTTGCTGGAGGCATTGCTCTAGTTTCTCCTGGATTCCTTGCCATGGCCTGGTTTATTTTGGAGCCTGAGCTCCTGTGGGATCCCCTCCCATGCATCCCATCAGGATCCTACAGATGCTTACCCTCGTGCCCCATAATGGGATTTGCTGGGGTGCTGATGCCTGGTGATGCTATGGGCTGCTCTGCTGGGATCATCCTCTTGCTGCCTCCTTCCAGCTGTTTCCCATTACCCAAAGATGGATTTAGAATGAATTTTCCCAACACCTTCGAGCGTCTCCATAAATCTCCCAGCCCTGCTGGTTCCTGGTGTTCCTGTTGAGCTGCTCCTGGGTGTCACAGGCACTTCACTTGGCCTTGGAGGTGTATTTTAGGGGGATTCAGCTGGGATTGCTGTTGGGTTCAATGTGCTACTGTGCTCACCCTCTTCCATGGCAGTGTCCCATCCACCTCTAATCCCTTCCTGGATGGGAGAAATACTTCCAGAGCTTGGGAGACTTGGGGGTTTTCCCCAAATTTCAACTTCCTCCTTTTCCAAATCGTGTCCTAGTGCACTCACCAGTGTTTTGTGGTCTTTGAGCAGGCAGGTGCTTGGTGTCCCCCTGATCCTACAGGAATTTTCATTGGGGAAGATGCTCGGGGGGGGTTCCCCAGTCCTGCCCCCCTTGCCAGCTCCCTGCCTTTGCTCATAGTTTGGGTCTTGCTTCTTGGGGGGGTGATGGTTTGTTTTGGGGGGTTCAAGGTGGAAGGGCAGGGGGACATGTGGCAGCCAGCTGTGTCCCATAACCGCCCCCTCTCTCCCCAGGATGGCGGAGCCTCGCTTCAACAACCCCTACTTCTGGCCTCCCCCCCCCACCATGCCCAGCCAGGTAGGACCCCTGCCCTGGGATTCTGGGGGGAGGGAGGATGAGTGGGTGTGGAGAACACTGAGAGGGGGAGGCTGGGAGTCCCAGGGATCCCGGTTCCTCTGCCCTCACCCACCTGTCTGCCTTCTGCCCCCTCAGCTGGACAACCTGGTCCTGATCAACAAAATCAAGGAGCAGTTGATGGCGGAGAAGATCCGCCCCCCTCACCTGCCTCCCACCTCGGTGGCCTCGCAGCAGCCCCTCCTGGTGCCCCCCTCTCCTGCTGAGAGCAGCCAGTCCATCATGTCCCTGCCAAAGCTGCAGCAGGTGCCAGGGCTGCACCCCCAGGCCGTGCCCCAGCCTGACGTGGCCCTGCATGCCCGGCCGGCCACCAGCACCGTCACAGGTACTGTGACACTGGTCCCGCCGCTCTGGGGGGCAGAGGGGGCTGTGGGTCCCCTCAAAACTAATGCTCTGTCCCCTTGCCCACCAGGGCTGGGGCTGGCATCCCGTGCACCGGCCGTCAGCACCTCGGAATCCAGCCCGGGAACAGGGACCACCACGCCCTCGACCCCCACCTCCACCAGTCAGAGCCGCCTCATCGCCTCCTCGCCCACCCTAATCTCAGGAATCACCAGCCCCCCCCTCCTCGACTCCATCAAGACAATCCAGGGCCACGGCTTGCTGGGAGCGCCCAAGGCCGAGCGGGGCCGCAAGAAGATCAAGGCGGAAAACCCTTCGGGGCCGCCGGTGCTGGTGGTGCCCTACCCCATCCTGGCCTCAGGGGAGACGGCCAAAGAGGGCAAGACGTACAGGTAGGCACCCCCCCGCCCGCTGTGGGGGCCGGGGGCCATGGCGGGGAGCCCCCCCACCCCAGCCCGGTCCCTGCGGGGTTCTCCCCCACACCCTCCAGGTGTAAGGTCTGCCCCTTGACGTTCTTCACCAAGTCGGAGATGCAGATCCACTCCAAGTCGCACACAGAGGCCAAGCCCCACAAGTGCCCCCACTGCTCCAAGTCCTTCGCCAACGCCTCCTACCTGGCCCAGCACCTGCGCATCCACCTGGGCGTCAAACCCTACCACTGCTCCTACTGTGAGAAGTCCTTCCGGCAGCTCTCCCACCTCCAGCAGCACACCCGGTGAGGGCCCCGCCCCGGGGCTGGGGACTCTTGTTCCTGCTGGCCAGGGAGGGGCACCCCACACCCACCAGTCTCTCCTGACATCCTTTACATGGCCCTGCCCTGCTTGTGGGTCCTGCTGCCATCATCTCCTTCATCATCATCCCCCATCATCTCCAGCACCTTCATGGTTTCCACCACACTCATCGCTCCCACTGTGCTCATTGATTCCCCCCACACTGGCTGTCCCCATTGCCTTTATCATCCCCACCACACTCATCATTTTCAGCACTTCCATGGGCTCCTCCATGTTCATCATCTCCACTACCTTCATCATCATCATCCCCACCATGCTAGTCTGACACCACTGTCTTCATTATCCCCACTGTGCTCAACATCTCCACCACCTCCCTAGTCTCTGGTACCTCCATGGTCTCCACTACCTTCTTTCTGACCACCTTCACCATCACCACCATGCTCATCATCCTCATTACCTTTATTGCCCCCACCATGCTCAGCCATCTCCACTGTGCTTTTCCCCACCACTTTCTTCATCCCCACCACCACCACCCCATGCACCCACCATCTTCAGCTGACCCCACCATGTCATCTGTCCGTGCATGCCAGTCCATCTCCTCCACACTCACCAGTTTCCAGCACTTCCATCCTCTCCCAATCCCCATCTCTCAGCCCTGTGTCTCCCTCCCTTCTCCCCTGTCACCTCCTGGGGCACAGATGTCACTGTGCCCACTGTAACCCTGTGACCATGTTCACAGGGGTCTGAGGATGAGGGAAGAGACGAGGATCTGACTCCATGTTTCAGAAGGCTTGATTTATTATTTTATGATATATATTATATTAAAACTATACCAAAAGAATAGAAGAAAGGATTTCATCAGAAGGCTGGCTAGGAATAGAAAAAGAAGGAATCATAACAAAGGCTTGTGGCTTGGACTCTGTCTGAGTCAGCTGGGCTGCGATTGGCCATTAATTAGAAACAACCACATGAGACCAATCCCAGATGCACCTGTTGCATTCCACAGCAGCAGATAACCATTGGTTACATTTTGTTCCTGAGGCCTCTCAGGAGGCCTAAGGAAAGGATTTTCCATAGAAGATGTCTGTGACATAACCCCCCCATCCCATGTCTCCCCCTCTTCTCCCCTGTCACCTCCTGGGGCACAGATGTCGCTGTGCCCACTGTAACCCCCACTCCAGTGTGGGATGGGGTTGGCACTGGCACTGTGGTGGGAGGGGAGGTGACAATGACAATGTGTGTGTCCCCAGAATCCACACCGGCGACAGACCCTACAAGTGCCCGCACCCCGGCTGCGAGAAGGCCTTCACCCAGCTCTCCAACCTCCAGGTCAGTGTGGGGGGCCCCGGGGCGGGGGGCACGGGGTCACCGTGGTCCCCCCCTGACTCCCTGTGTCCCCTCAGTCCCACCAGCGCCAGCACAACAAGGACAAGCCCTACAAGTGCCCCAACTGCTACCGGGCGTACACGGACTCGGCCTCGCTGCAGATCCACCTGTCTGCACACGCCATCAAGCATGCCAAGGCCTATTGCTGCAGCATGTGCGGCCGTGCCTACACCTCGGTGAGCACGGGGGATGCCCCCAAAGGTGCCCAGAGCCCCCAGCCCCCCGCTCACTCCCCCCCTGTGCCCCCCACAGGAGACCTATCTGATGAAGCACATGTCCAAACACACGGTGGTGGAGCACCTGGTCAGCCAGCACTCGCCGCAGCGGACGGAGTCACCCGGCATCCCCGTACGGATCTCCCTCATCTAAACGGGGAGGGGACAGCACCCCCCCAGCATGAGGAGGAGGAAGAGGAGAGGGAGGAAGAGGAGGAGAAGAAGGAGGAGGAGGAGGACGAGACCCCCAGCGCCGCGGGCCACGCCCGGGCCGTGCTCCTGCCCGGCTCCCGCAGGTTTGGTGACATCCAAAGACGGTTTCAGAGCACTTTGAATCTCTGCGGTTTGGTTTCTTTGGGGGGGGCAGTGGGGTTGGGGGTGTCCCCCCTGCCAGGCCCCACCCCCCATTTTTGGATACAAATATATATATATATATATATTTATTGGCCAAGAACTTGGTGCTGCTAAAGACCAGAAATTCACCCCAAAAACGAACCGTGGATGGAGCAAAAAGCAGCTGGGGGGGTGGGGGAAAGTCCCACCACCCCCCCCCACCCCCCCCACAGACTCTGGGCCCAAGCGCCTCCATTTGGGGTTGATTTTTAACCATTTTGGGGGTTTTTTGTGTTCTTTTGGGGTCCCTTTCGAGGGCGAAGCCGCGGGCAGAGCTGCGTCCCCCCGGTGCCGGCCCCCCCATTCCGCAGCCCCAGTTTTGGGGGGTCTGGGGGTCCCCCTGCTTTGCCTTGTGCCTGCCTGTACATACCCCCTGTATAGAGCCGGGGGGCACTCCCCCCAAACTCATCTATATTCTGTACTTTTTGGTTCATTTTGGATATTAACTGTGTTATTTTTTATACACTTTTTAAGCCTTAACTCAGCGTTTCTTTGGGGTTTTTTGTTGTTTTTTTTTTTTTTTTTTTCAGGGTGTTTTATTTACCTTTTATTAATTTTTAACCCCTCTGTTATTTTTTACCCCCTCCCTATTATTTTTCCCCTTATTTTTTACCCCCCCATTATTTCTCCCCTCAATGTTGTACGATATCAATATTGTAACCTTTTTTGTCAGCATGTTAATACTGTGTAAATACGCCTCTTATACACTTAGCCCCCCCTTTTTTCTCCCCTTCCCCCAAATTTTGGGGCTTTTTTATTTTCCTCGCTGCCCAGCCAGGCCAGGCCTCCCTAGAGCTAGTTGGTACCTTATTAAAAAAGGGAAAAAAAAAAAAAAAAAAAAGAAAAAAGAGGAGAAAATGGACAAAAAGTTGCCCCTGTCCCTGTTGTTGCCACCCCCTGTCCTGCATTGTGGTTCCTGGAGAAGCTGGGCGGGCCACGGCCTCACAGCGTGGAAAAGGAATGAAACCCCCCCAGCCCAGCCCCTTTCCAAAAAAAGAGAATAAAAGAGAACAAAAAAAAAGACCAGAACGGGAATTAATGAAACTGGGGGGTTGTGTCTGGGGGGAGGGGACTCCTCTGTGGGGACATCTGGGGACACTGGGGGGGCCTGGTCCCTGTGGGGCTGTAGGAGGGGAGGGTGAAGCTGTGGCTCATCCTCAGCAGGGGCATTGTCCCCAGAGGTTCCCCAGGGACAGGGGTGGCACAGAGCTCCTGGTCGTGGTGGGGCTGTGGGTGACCCAGTGCTGGGGACACCAGCTCTGGGGACAGGTCACTCTGGCCACCACTGCTGGGGACACTTCACCATGGCCACGGCTCTGGTGAGACCTCGCTGTGGCCACCTGGGGACCCTCCAGGCCCCTGTCACCACCTCCAGGGACACCTCATGGTGGCCACAGCTCTGGGGTCAGCACAGAGCCCCAGGGCCATGTCACAGTGGTACCATGTCCATGGTCACCAGCTCCAAGGATCTGTCACCACCGTGGCCACGGCTCTGGGGACACCTCACCACTGTGCTTATCAGCTTTTGGGACACTCTTATCAACATCAGTGCTTGGGGACACTGCACCATGGCCGTGTCACAGCCACCGGCTCTGGGGACACCTCAGTACAGGGGCTACATCCAGGGCCCCCTCTCCAGGCCCCTCAGCTCCCAGGATGTGTCACAGCCCCAGGACAGCTGCAGGGCCATGCCACCACCTCCCCGACCTGGGAACCCTGTGTCCCCCTAAGCACTGGGACTTGGGGGTCACCTGGAGGTGTGGAGGGTGCCACTGTCACCACAGTGATGTCCCCACTTCCAGCTGGGGGGCAGGAGGGAGCCCCAGGTGACACAGAATGAGCCCTGTCCCCACTGGCCACAGAAGTCCCACCACCCTTGGTGGCACTTGGAGACAGCCCTGAGTTCCTGCCTTAGTTTCAGGGGGAAGAAATTTGGAGGGGGGAAGTGAAGAAAACTGGGAAAGTCCCAGGTTTGTTTGTTTTTTTTTCAGTGTTTATTAAAAACAAAAACAAAAAACAGGAAAAGGGGGGGTGGGACCATGTGTTTTTTTCCATTTTTTTTTTCCTTTTCTTTTCTTAAAAAGATCGTGCTGGCTGAGGGGGGAGTGGGGGGGTCCTTACCTGCCTGGGGGGGGGACCCCCACCACTGTCCTCTGCTTGGGTGCCCCCAAACCCAGCCCAGCGTGTGGGGGGGTGTGTGTGAATGGGGGGTGACGCCTCCTCCGCGCCCCCCACCTCTCCCTGACCCCCTTTGGGGGGAGTCCAAACCTCCCTGGGGGCCCCAATCCCAGCCGGGGGAGGGAGCACACGTTAAGGCAACCGTCCTGCTTGGCTCTGCTGACCTGGGGGGACACGGGGGGGACACGTGGGGACCCCCTCCCTGCTGCAGAAGGGGGGGTGACCCCCCAAAGCTGGGGGGGTGTGGGGGGCTCTAGAGCTACGGGCTATTTACACCCCCCGGGGGGGCAGGGGGGGCGGGGTGTGCTCACAAGTGTCTCCCCCCCCCCTCACCCCCTCCCCGGGGCCATGGGGGGGTCAGGGGTCCCGTGGGGGGAGTGGGGTCCCGTGCCCCCCCCTCAGGAGTCCTTGAGCATGTTGATGCGGGCGTAGATCTTGAGGGCAGGGCCCAGCTTGATGTTCATGGTGCTCATGAGATGATCCTCCTTGAGCAGCAGCAGTGCCTGCCCGTCGATCTCCTGTGTCCTGAACTCCTCTGCGATCTCCTGGCAGCCTGTGGGGAGGGGCAGCATCAGCAAAGCCTCTCACAGACCCCAAAAATACACTCAGGGGCTTCTCCGTGCTTGAATCACCCAAAAAATCTTATTTAGGGTGTTACATGTAAATGGCTTCCACCAATTATCCTTGAGGTTTATTTGTAAGTCCCCATGCTGCCCCCAAAATATTAATGGGTTTGTGAGTAGAATCCATCCCCCCAAAAAATATTGATGGGGTTATCTGTGAGTAAGTCATCCCCCAAAAATATATTTATGGGATTATCTGTGTGTAAATCCTACTCAAAAACATATCTATGGGGTTCTCTGTGAATAAATCTCTTCCCAAAACCACAATTTTGGGGTTATCCTTGAGTAGATCACCACAGTGCTGGGTATCTGCGGGTATCTCCCTGTCCATGCCAGGACATTCCTCACCTGGCAGCGAGCGGATGAACTCGTAAACGTCCTCCACGTTCCACTTGCTGGGCTCGCTGGGCAGGAAGCGGTGGCCGAGGCCGGGCAGGTCGCGGTCGGGCAGCTCCATGTCCCGCAGCTCCAGCTCCCGCTCCCCCTGCCGGCGCCGCGATGTGGAGGAGCTGGCGGAGATGGGCGACAGCGGCTCCTCGTAGCTGGAGTTGTCCGAGCAGCGGCTGGAATCCTCCTGGCTGTGGTTGAGCTGCAAGGACGCCGTCACCGACCCCGCTGGGACAGACCCCGGGGGCTGCGGGGGCAGTGCTGGCCTCAGCACCTGCCCCATGTCACCAAAATCCAGGGACAAACCCCAGCCTCAGCACCTGCCCCGTGTCACCAAAACTCAGGGACAAACCCCAGCCTCAGCACCTGCCCCGTGTCACCAAAACTCAGGGACAAACCCCAGCCTCAGCACCTGCCCTGTGTCACCAAAACTCAGGGACAAACCCCAGCCTCAGCGCCCACCCCATGATCCCAAAACTCAGGGACAAACCCCAGCCTCAGCACCTGCCCCATGTTCCCAAATTCAGGGACAAACCCCAGCCTCAGTGCCCACCCCACATTCCCAAAATTCAGGGACAAACCCCAGCCTCAGTGCCCACCCCACATTCCCAAAATTCAGGGACACACCCCAGGCTCGGCACCCACCCCATGTCCCCCATTTGAGACCAAACCCTGGCCTCAGTGCCCACCCCGTGTCCCCATCACTGGGGGTAAATCCTGTGCTCAGTGCCCCCCCTGTGCCCCCAAAGTCAGGGACAAACCCAAGGCTTGGAGCCCGCCCCACATTCCCAAATCTGGGAACAAATCCCAGCCCCGAGGCCAAACCCAGCTGGGGACAAACCCTGTCCCCAGTGCCCGGCCCGTGTCCCCTCACCTGTTTCTTGCTGTCCTTGCTCAGGGGGGGCAGGGTCCCTTTGCAGCTGCGGCGCCGCCCGTGGGGGGGCCCTCCCGGTTTCTGGAGTTTGCTGCGATCGGGGTGGAACAGCCCCACCCTCTTGGTGCAGCCCACGTTGTACCTGCACAGAGCCACGGGTCACGGAGGGGTCCCCACCCCACTGGGGGAACTTTGGGGATACCTCTACCCCACCAAACAAGAGGGGAAGGGTGGGTTTTGGGGTTACCCCAACCCCAAGCAGGAAGATTTTGGGGTTACCCCTCCCATGCTGAAGGGATTTTCAGGTTACCTTTACCCTGGCAGGTGATTTCTGGGGCTACCTCTACTCTTGCCAAGTGGGTTTTGGGGTACCTCTACTCCACTGAAGAGGGTCCAAATGGATTTTGGTGTTACATCTGCTCTGTCAGGTGGGTTTTGGGGTTGCCTCTACCCTGCTTGAATGGATTTTGGGGCTACCTCTATCCAGCTGTGGAGGGGCCTGTGTGGATTTTGGGGTCACCTCTACCCTACTGTGGAGGGGTTGGGTGGGTTTTGGGGCTACCTCTACACAGCAAGGAGGGGTTGGGTGGGTTTTAGGGGTTACCTCTACCCTGCCATGGAGGGATGGGTGGGTTTTGGGGTTACCTCTATCCTATCAAGGAGGGGTTGGGTGGATTTTGGGGTTACCTCTACCCCAGCATGGAGGGGCTGGGTGGATTTTGGGGTCACCTCTACCCTGCCATGGAGGGACAGCATGGGTTTTGGGGTTACCTCTACCACACCAAGGAGGGGTTGGGTGGGTTTTGGGGTTATTTCTACCACACCAAGGAGGGGTTGGGTGCATTTTGGGGTTACCTCTTGGCACAGGCCATGGAGCAGAAGCGCTTGGAGCGCTTGAACTTGTAGGCGAAGTCAACGCGGCCACAGAGCTCACACTTCAACTTGGGGGGGTTCCCCTCCTCTTTGGATTCTGGGGGGCGTGGAGGGACACCCAGAGAGAGAAACCAGCCAGCTCAGCCAGGGGGGCACTCAGGGGGATCCTGGGGGGCTCAGGGGGGTCCCAGGGCCCGGGCGCTACCTTGCAGGTACGGCTCCTCCATGTCCGAGTCGGTGGTGGTGGTGTTGTCCTGTGCTGGGAGCTTGTCTGGCAGCAGCTCCTGTGCATACTGCTTGTGCAGGGCCCCCACCAGCAGCGAGGAGCGGCCCACCTGTGCAACACACCCGGCTGCACCTGTGCCCCAGCGACCCCTGGGCGTGCCCACGGGGCTGCCAGGGCCCATCCCAACCCTCACACCCACGGGGATGTTACCAGCTCTGCACCTCCCTGGGGGCAGGTGGTGACAAGGGCGGGCATTTGGGGTCCAGATATTCTTGGAGTGACCCAATCCTGACCCCTCGAATCCAGGAGCAAGGATAAGGAGAGGAGGGTACGTTACCAGGAATGATTCTACCCCAATCCTGACCCCTCGAATCCAGGAGCAAGGATAAGGGGAGGAGGATACGTTACCAGGAATGATTCTATCCCTTCCTGGCTGCTGAAGTGCTCAGTAACACAGGCAAGGGTTTGGGGGTTCATCATTGTCAAAGTGACCCAATCCCACCCCCACTTTCCCAACCCCTCAGCTCCAGGAAGGAGATCAGGTATGTTACTGGAACAGCTCTGTCTCTTCCCAGATGATGGAAATGCTCAGTAAGATGGGTGAGGATGTGGGGGCTCATGATTGTCTGGGCATCCCATTCCCAGTCCCCCAAATGCAGGAGCCCTCTCCCCAATTTCCCACATCCAGGAACAAGGACAGGTGGAGGGGGATACATTACTGGGAATGGCTCAGCCCCTTCCTGCACAATAAGGAACTCACAGATGTGAAGATTTGGGGATTCACAATGGTGTGGTTGCCCCATTCCCAAGCCCCCAAACCCAGAAGCAAGGACAGGGAGAGGGGAAAGCATCACCAGGAACGGTTCTGCCCCTTCCTGGACAATGAATTACAGAATAACGTGTGTAACACCTGGGGGCTCACAATTGTCTGGGTGCCTCATTCCCAACCCCCCAATCCAGAAGCCCCCCTCTCACACACACACAGATCCAGGGATAAGGATATGGATGGGTGGATACGTTACCAGAACAGCTCAGCCCCTTCCTGAATGATGAAAAACTCAATAACGTGGGGGAAGATTTGGGGGTTCACAAAGGCCTGGATGCCCATTCCCAACATCCCTCTGTCCCAGAAAGAGGGGGTAGGGAGGGGGAGATATCATACCAGGAACATTTTTGCCCCTTTCTCAGTCATGAAGCCCTCAACACATGGGTGGAGGATTTGGGGGAGTGGGGGGGGTGATGATTGTTTGGATGCGCCATTCCCAAAACCCCCAAATTCAGGGATAAGGATGCAGAGAGAGATAAACATTAGTGGGAATGGTCCTAAATTCAGGAATAAGGATGCAGAGAGAGATATACATTACTGGGAATGGTTCTGCCCCTTGCTGGATGACGTCCTCGATGAAACGGGTGAGGATTTAGGGCTTCACGATGGTGGGTGCTCCACTCCCAACCGCCCAAATTCAGCAACAAGAGCAGGGACATTGGGATCCATTACCGGGAAGGACTCAGCCCCTTCCCGACTGACAAAACACCCGGTAACGGGATAAACCCACAGGGAGCACCGGGAGCAGCTCAGCCCCTTCCCGGATGACGAAGCAGGGGATGGATTTGGGGGTTCACGCCTGACCGTGCCCCCCGTTCCCCCCGAGCCCAGCCCCGGCAGAGCGGGATACGTTACCGGGAAGGGCTCGGCGCCCTCCTGGATGACGAAGCCCTCGATGACGTGCGTGAGGATCTGGGGTTTCACGATGGCCTGGGGCGGTTTGTTCTCACCATTGTGGGGGGCGGCGCCGGCGACGGTGGCGGCAGCGCTGCCGGAGCCCGAGGTCATCCCGGGAATGCGGGGCTGCGCATGGAGGCGCTCGGGGGGCTCTGGGGACAGCGGGGCACACGCGGTGAGGGGCGGGCGCTGACGCCGCGCTGACGCGGGGCCGCGATTTCCATACAGCTGGAACGGGGAGCAGCTGCTGCCGCTCCCAGCGCCGCCCAGCCGGCCCCGGGGGGTGCCAAAGGGGGGAAAGGGCCCCCAAAATACCCGGAGAAGTCGGGACACAGCCGCAGAGCGCAGGGGGAGCGGGACAGCCCCGGCGCGGCGCTGTGAGGCACCGGCCAGGCCGCGTCTGCCCCGGCGGGGCTCCGTGTACGGCGGAAAGCCCCGATCTGCCCCAGAAAGGCCCCAACAGGGCTCGATCCAACCCGGAAAGCGCCGATCTGCCCCAGCACGGCCCAGTGCGGCCCCGGAGAGGCCCGAACCACCCCCTCAGGCCGCGGCACATCCCGGTACCGCCGCGGCAGGGCCCGATCTGCGCCCGTGAGATCCCAGCGAGCCCCAGCGCACTCGGCAAAGCCCCGGCAAAGCCCCAGCACAGCCCCGCGGGGCCCGCGGGCCCCGGCCCAGCCCACCCCGACCCCGCTCCTCTCCAGGCCGCCTCGGGCCGCGCAGGCCCCGGCACCCCCATCACCTTTGTCCGGCGGCGGCGGCGGCTCCCGCTGCCCCCGCCCCTCCCTCGCCCGGGCCGCGGGGCCGGACCGGGGCCGGGGGCGGATGCGGAAGTGAGGTCAGAGCCGCCGCCGCCGCCGCCCCGGGCCGGGCCTGGCCGCTGCGGTCGGCGCTCACTCACCGGGCGCTCAGGGGGTCGGGGGGGCCATGGCGGGGGGCCCGGGCCGGGGCTGCGGCGGGAGCGGCGCCGGGAGCGGGGCCAGGGCCGAGCGGGGACAAAGGCGGCGGCGGGGGCGGGGCCTGCCGCGAACACGCCCCCGCGCGCCCATTGGCGGGTGCTGCCGCCGCGCGCGCCCAGAGCCTCGGACACGCCCTCCTCAACATGGCCCCGCCTCCCGCGCCCCCGCCATCGGGGGCGGAGCCTCGCTCCACAAGGGGCGTGACTGCACAGGCGTGGCCACGCCCCCACCCGGTTGCACCCCCACACAGCCGGGGCGGAGCCTCCAGATGTGGCCACGCCTCCTCTGCACGCGCGCCACAACCGCGCCTACAGAAAGGGGCGTGGTCACGGGCCCGCCCCTCGGGTGCCCTCCGTGCGCCAGCGAGGCGTGCGTGCCCCCCCTAGCGGCAGCGGCGGGAGCCGCACCCGGCCCGCAGCCCAGGGCTGAGCGAGCTCCCCTCAGCGCTGCCCTCGCTCCCGCAGCGCTGCCCGGCCTCACCGGCCCCTGCTGCATCAGGGCTTGCTTGGGGTGCAGCACCCCGCGAGTGGGTGCCTGTGGGAGCGGGGCGGGCGCTTACCGTGCGTGAGGGGCCGCTCGCCCTCGGGGGTGTCGGGGCCCGGGGGGGCGGCGGGCGGCGACAGGGCGGGGGGCTGCGGCGGGGCGGCAGGCGGGCTCTCGGCGCTCCTCGGCACGGGCAGCGGGTCCCGGCGGGCGCCCTCGGGGACCCCGAGGGACGGCTGTGGTGGCAGGGACACGCGTGGGGCAGGGTCAGGTGTGCACACACATGGGCAGGGGTAAAGTGTGCACACGCACGTGCAGGGCGCGGGGCAGGTGCGTGTGCGGGTGGCACAGGGACATGCACCTGCACGACTGGAGTGTGCACACCCGTGCATGGGTCACACACAAGCATGTGCCTGGAGCGGGCATGCACATGCACACACGTGTGTCACAGATGGGCATGCGTGTCCAGACACACCTGATCTGGCACGCACATGTGTGCAAGGAGCCTGTACACATCCCACAAACACACACGTGCACGGGGCTGGCATGAGTGTCACACACATGCACAGGCCAGACACACATGGGTCAAGCACAGGTGCACACACATGGGCCAGGCAAGCACGTCTGCACTCATGTGCATGGAGCTGAGTGTGCACACACATGCGGGAAGCAGACACATGCACATACGCACACATGCATGTGCGTGCATCTGGCAAAGCTGTGCACACACACACACTTGTGTGGGTCCAGGACACACATGCATGGTCAGACATACGAGCTCAAACACGTGCACACACACATGGATCAGCCACATGCTCCCCATGTCACAGGACCAGGCACACACAGCCATGAAAGTGCCATGGATGGGGCAATCCCGTGCACAGGTGTGCATGGAGCAGGTACACACATGCAGCGGGGCCTGAGCGTGCACACCTGTACACCTGCACACTGATGTGACAGCTGGGCCCCCATGCACAGCTCAGGACCACACATGCACACACCCGTGTGCAGGGACTGTGCACTTGCACACCCACGCGCGTGTGCACACAACTGACTCCCCCGCATCCCCCACTCCCACTCCAGTGCCCCCATTCCTCTTTCCCTCCTCCCACCGAGGGGCTTGGGGGCCCCTCACTGTGAGGGTTTGGGGGGAGGCTTTGGGGGAGCTGTGGGGGCCCCTCCTGCTGAAGGTTTGTGGGGAGGTGTGGGGGCCCCTCACCGTGGGGCCGGCGGGCTGCAGCTGCAGGATGACAGCCGAGGCGTGCTGGAACTTGCGGGGGGCAGCGTGGCAGCCGGGGTGCCCGTTGGGGGGGCCACCCTCGCCCCCTGCTCCCTGTGGGACCCCTGCTTTGGGCTGGGGGCCCGGGCCGGGGCTGGCAGAGGGCAGGGGCTGGAGCTGGGGGGTGCTGGGGGGGCCCGAGGGGGGCTGCCCACGGGGGCCCAGCTGCTGCTGCTGCTGCTGCTGGATGACGAACTGCTGCTGCTGCTGCTGCTGCGGCTGCGGCTGCATCGGCTTCGGCGGCTGCTGCAGGAACTGGGGGGGCTGCAGCGGGGCGTAGGCTGTGGGGACAGCAACGGGGACAGAGATCCCCCTGAGCACCAGCACCTCAGCCCACGGGACCCACCCCCAGGAGGCTGCTGCTCACTCTGTGTCTGTTCCCTCTGGTGCCCTCGGACAATCAGCTCTGCCAGCTCCTGCTGCTGATGTGGGAAGCTGCACTGGGGGGGGGGTCTCCAATTTTGGGAGCCATGCCAGTGCAGCACCCCAGGCTCCAGCACTCCACAGAGTCCCCTGGCTCACACCCTCACTGCCCCAGCCCCCTGCACCCCACAGGACCCTGGGATCCCATGGGTGCTGAGACCCTCCCGAGCAGGGCCCAGTGAGGGGACGGACCCACAAGGTCCCAAACAGAGGCAGGTGACAGCTGCAGGACACACCAGTGTGGGCCATCACTGGTTTCAGAGTGAACAGCCCGTGACTCCCCAGCACCCAGGGGTGTCCCCCCCCGGAGCAGCCCCTTACCTGGGGTGACGAGCGGGTGGGTGGCAGCGGGGGCGGTGGTGCGGGCCAGGGCATGGGCGCGGCCCTCGTGCCCCTCGGCCTTTTTGAGGTGCTCGGCGGGGGGGTCGGGCGGGGGCCCCCGGGGGGGGCCAGCCCGGGGAGGGGCACCCCCGGGGGGCTTCATGGCCAGGGCAGGGAGGTGGGGGCCGGCAGGGCGCAGGGCCAGGCTGTGCACCTGCAACGGCAGCGGGTCAGGGGTGCCGGGGCAGATTGCGGGGGCCTGGCAGGGGTGGGGACACTCACCTGAGGGGTGGTGGGTGGTGGGGCAGGTGGCGGGGCCGGCGGAGGGGCCGGCGCGGGGCTCTCGGGCCGGACAGCGCTGACGGGGCCCGTGGGTGTGAAGATGAGCTGGGGACAGGGAGAGTGGGTGCACGGCTCACCATGTCAGGGGTGGCACACCCTGTGTGTGTCCCTCCTCTGTGTCCCTACAGGGTGGCACATGGGTATCTCTCTATCTATGTAGGGTAGGAACAGGCACGCCCACTGTGGGGGAGGGCACCCTAGAGGGTCCCAACGCCCCCCCAAAGGCAAAGAGCACCTGCTTGGGTACCCCCAACAGAGCTCTGGGTGCCCTGTGGGGTCTGGGCATCCCAGTGGGATGGGGTTCACCCTATATGGGGGCCAGGCTCCCTCAGCTGAGTGAAGGCACCTCACGAGGTCTACACACCTCACAGCAGGGTGACAGGCACCCTGTGGGGTCCTCGGACCCCCAGGAGGGTGGGGGGCACCTCATAGACTCTGAACACCCCATGGATTCCCCATGGGTCCCAGGCATGCCACACAGAGCAATGAGCACCCCTAAAGTGTCATAGGATGGCCATGGGCACTTGGTGGGTCCCATCAGCCCACAACAGGATGGTGGGCACCCCAATGGTCCTGGGCCCAGCCCCACCCTTACCATCTGTGCCCGCAGGTACATCTGGGCCTGGCTGGCGGTGAGGGCGGGCGAGGCAGTGTTGCCCAGCAGCACGGCCTGCTGAGCGATGCCCGACGCGCCGGGCCCCACGCTCTGTGCCCGGTTCAGCAGCTGCGCCGCCGCCGGCGACGTCGCCAGGTTGATCTGGAACGGGGCACCAGGACAAGGTCGGGGCGCTGGCACGGGCGGGCACGGGCGGGCGGGTGGGCGCCCGGAGGCTGAGGGACTCACCGTGGGCTGCTGTGCCGGGGCGGGCTGGGTGCCGTTGCCCCCCGAGGAGCTGCTTTGCCGGTTCACCGCCAGGCTTGCCTTGGGGGAGAGCCGTGGGTGAGGGCCGTGCCAGCCCCGAGCCACCCCCCGTGCCCGCGGGGTGCCCGTACCTGCTGCACGGCGGCCAGGCTCTGCAGCTGGGCGCTGGTGAGGTGCTGCTGCTGGAGGGCAGCCGTCTGCAGCATGAGGTGCTGCTGCTGAGCCGCGTACATCTGCTGCAGGTACTGCGCCGCCGTGTTGGGCTGCCGGTGCAGCGCCTGCTGGATCACCTTTGGGGAGGAAATGTGGCCACGACCCCCCCGCTGGCCCCCAACCCTCGGGTGCCCCCAGCCCCGTACCTGCACGGTCTGGCGGTCGGGGATGCCGCTGTAGACAGAGATCTGGGGCCCGGGCGGGCGCGTGGCCGCGCTGCTGGCGGGCGCTGGGGCCGTGCCGCCGGCGCTGCTGGCGGGAGCTGGGGCCGGGAGCTGCTCATTCTCCATGGCGGGGCCGGGCCGGGATGGTGGAAGAGGGTCAGACTAGAGCTGGGGAGGAGGAACACAGTGAGGGGGGATCACTCGTGCCTGGATGCTGGAAGCACAGAGGAGGAGGAAGGTGGGGTAGAGGAAGAATGATGGGAGACCCTGTGGCTCATCCGCCTCTGCTAAACTGGGGTCAGTGCCCCAGGGAAAATGGGGAAAGGGAGCATGGACAGAGGGAAGGAAAGGACAGGAGGAAGGCTGGAAGGCAGAGAGATGGAGGTGAGGAGGTAGGGATGGATAGAAGGATGGACTGGAGGAAGAGAGGGATGAAAGGACAGACAGACAAAAGGAAATGAGGAACGGAGGGAAGCAGGAAAGAGACGGATGGACAGAAGGAAATGAGGGAAGGAGAGGAAAGAGAGAAACCAAGGGAGTTATGGAACTAGGAAAGGGTAGAAGCAGGAAAGGGATGAAGAATGGAAGGAAAGAGAGAATGACAAACAGGAGAAGGAAAGGGATGGACAAATGGAATGATGGATGGGCAGAAAGGAAAATGGAGGGGAGGAGGGAGGATGGACATAAGGACAGACAGAAGTAAGGAAGAAGAGACGAGGACAGGAAAGACGAAAGGAAGGAGAGGTCAAGGATGGAAGGCATGGACAAGAGGACAGAATAAATGACAGACAGAAGGAATGACGGCTCTAAGAACGGAAGGAAGGAATGATGGATGGACAGAAAGATGGACAGAATGAGGAAAGGATGCAAGGATAGAAGGAAATGCTGAAAAAAAGCAGGAAAGTGAGGGACCAAGGGATGGAGGGAAGAACAGAGCAGACAGGAGGGAGGAAGTATGGACAGATGAAAAGACACAAAAGGGAGGAAGGGATGGAAGAAAGGCTGCATGGACACTGGAGAGGGATGCAGGGAAGAATGGACAGAGGAAATGGATGAGGGGAAAGGCAGATGGAAGGAGGAAGAGCGATGAATGGATGGCAGGAGGGGGACAGACAGCATGACAGAACAGGAGGAGGATGGGGACAGCGCTGTGGGGGCCAGAGAGGGGGGGTTGTGGGTGGCACCTCTGTCACCACAGCCACTCCATGGTCACCGACAGCCACCCACAGCCACCACGCTCCACCCCTGTCACCCGACAGCCCCTGCAGTGCCACCACAGCGGGACCAGGGACAACAGTGTGGGACACTGGAGACTATGGACAGCAGGCACTGAGGGTGGCCTTGGTCACCATGCCAGAGCAGGGCCCCACAGGCCATCCCAGCCTGGCACAGGAGCGATGTGGCAGCAGTGATGTCCTGGCCTCGTGCAGCCCACGGGGCTTTGTCCCCTGAGATGCCACTGTGGCAGAGCACAGGGTGGGACAGCCACGTGTCCACGGCTGTGGCAGTGCATGTGGCCTGTGACACTGCCCACCCTCGGGTCTGCATCCAGGGCACATTCACCATCAGCTGCAGGGACTTTAGGCACCCTTTTCCCACCCAACAGCCACAGACCTGGATTTCCTGCTCTGGTGGCATCGAGGTGACACGGGGTCACTGACACAGAGGGATCACACCAGGCCCATCTGGAGTCAATCCCCCAGGGGTGGGCAAAGCCCCCCACAGCTCCCACCCACTGTGGGTCCAAGCCTGTCCTCACCCACAGCAAACCCCACCAGGGAATTTGGGGTGTCAGATGGGGACAGCTCACTTTTGACCCAGAGGTCAAACCTCCAAACCATTCCACCCACCCAAAATAACAAAAAAAAGCAAGATTTTGAGTAGTGCTGGGACCCACTGGGGTGGGGGAACATGGGGGGTCCCACAGCCAGGACAGGAAGAGCTGGAATTCCCTGAGCTGAGCCCAAAATGGGGGTGGCAAATGATGAGGGGGTAGGGAAATCCTGGAGGAGTGGGATGGGATGGAATGGGGACACAGACAGGTTGTGGGGGCAATATAGGATCTAGAGGGGGAAGATGGGACAGTAAGCAGCAGCATGGAGCAATACAGAGGGAATAATATGGGGGTTCAGAATAAGGGGGGATGCAAGGTGCTGGTGAAGGGTGGGATCTGGTGGGAAGTTGGGATAGAAAAGAGAGGGGTCAGAGAGTAGGGATTGGAAAATGATGGTGGGGTGGGAATAATAATAAGAGGAAGTAAAAGCAGGGGAGAGGGTGGAAAATAATGGGAAAGAGGGGAAAACACAAATGACAGGGTTGGATACAAGTGAGGGAGGTCAGATACGACACTGGGAGGGCAGATACAATATAGGGGGTCAGAGGTAACAGCAAGAATATGATTGGGGGTGGACAAAAATAATAATAAAGGGGTGCAGGACGGGGAGCAGCAGGATAAGACATAGGGAATGATAAGGAGGTGCAGAATAAGAGAGGGGATGCAAGAGCCTGGTGAGGGATGGAAAACACTAGTGGGGTGGGATAGAAAGGAAAAGAGAGGGCCAGATTTAATAAAAGGGGAGTCAGATAAAACAGCAGGGACTGGAACATGATGGTGGGGGGTGGGAATAATACTAACGGTGCAAAATCAGAAAAGATGGGGAGTGGGATATGATGACAAGGGGTGGGATAGAAGACAAGGGGGTCAGATATAGTATAGGGGGCCAGAGATAACACTGGGGGGCACTGGAATATGATGGTGGGCGGTGGGCAATAATAGCAGTAATAATAATAACAAGGGAGTCCAGAACCAGAGGAGGGGGCTCAGGAGAAAGGGAAGGAGGGGAGACACGGATGGGGTGGGAAATGGGGGCTCCAAGAGAGGCGGGGAGCGGCGGGGGCCACGGCCCCGGGTGGGGAAACTGAGGCACGGCGGGTGCGCATGCGCGGCCCCCCCCTCCCCTCAGCCGCCCCCCCCCACCCCCCGGCCCAGACAAAGCCGCCGGGGCCCGGTAGCGGCGGCACGCGCGGTACCTGCGGGCCGGGCCGGGCGAGGCGGAGGCGGCGGGCGGGCTGTGCCATGGCCCGGGGGGCGCCGGGGGGTCCCGGAGCGGGGGTTGCGGGGGTCCCGGGGGTCCCGGCGGGGCCGGGCCGGGCCCGCTCCCTCCTCCCTCCCTCAGGCGGCGGCGCGGCGGCGGCGCGAGGCCATCGCTCATTTGCATTCCTGCGCGCGTCACGTGGCGCCGCCCGGCCAATCGCCGCCCCGCCCGCCCCGCGTGCCCCGCCCACCGCGCCGCGCGCCCGCTGCTCGCGCTCGCCATGGCAACCCCGGTGGGGAGGGGGGGCGGTGAGCGGGGTCGCCATGGCAACGGGGAGAGGAGGGGGCGCGGATGGGCCCGAGGGGAGCGGGCCGGGACTGGGACCGGCGGGGCTCGGCAGCGGAGAACCACGGAGATCCGCTCATCCGTGCTTCCAGGAGCCATCCCGGGGCTGCCCCGAGTCAGGCCCGGCAGGACGCTGCGGCCTAGGGATGCTGACGGCGGTCCCCGGGGTCGCCCGGGGTCACTCCGAGGACGCTGAGGGCCGGCTGGGGCAAGAAGACGCAGCGGTCTGGTGGCAGCGGTCGCCGCTGTCGCATGGGGTCGCTCGAGTCAGCCCGGCGCTGCGCGGGGCGGGATGCGGCAGCCTGGGGACAGTGGTGGCACCGGTCCCTGCCGCCGCCGGGGTCACCCGGGGTCACCCTGGGGATGCTGAGCGTCGCTACCGGGGGGACGCAGCGACACAGGCGTGGTGGTGCCTGTCCCCTGTGCCACACCGAGTCACCCCGAGGGTCGGTACCGGCGGGATGCCGCAGCGTGGGGACGGTGCCGCTGCTCCCCGGTGCTTCCAGGAGTCACCCCGGAAAGTGCTGGGGCCGGGATGGCCGGGATGGGGCAGCGGGGGACGGTGACCGGAGTCCCCGCTGCTGCTCGGAGTCACCTCGGGGCTGCCCCAGGACCGGCACCGGCGCTGGAGGGATGATGGCACCGGCCCCCGCCGCCACCGGGGGTCACCCGGGGATGCCGAGGGCACACACCGGCCGGTGCCACCCGTGCCCGGTGTTTCCTGCGGGGATGCTGAGGGCACACACCGGCCGGATGGCTTGGCGGGGGTGCTGACACCGTCCCCGGTGTTCCCCGAGGCCGGTCCGGCGGTCCCCGGTGCCGGCAGTAGGTACCGGATAGAACCGGCCCCGGAGCTGTCGGGGAGGGGGGTGGCACCGATCCCCGGTGCTTCCTGCGGTCACCCGGGCTCACCGCGAGGGACCAGCGCCGGTACCGGGCGGATGCTGCCGTACGGGGGTGCTGGCCCCGGTGCCCGGTGTCTCCCGTGTCACCCCGGGCATGGTCGGCACTGCGGGGGGAGGTGGCACCGGTGCCGGTCCCCTCGGGGGTCACTCGTGGCCACCAAAGCCCGTCCGAGCTGGGGTCCGTCCCCCCCAGGACATTCCCCTGTGTGCAATGTTGGGGACACTGGGGGGATATGGGGGGACATTCCCTGTGTGCCATGCTGGGGACACTGGGGGGATATGGGGGGACATTCCCTGTGTGCAATGTTGGGGACACTGAGGGGGATATGGGGGGACATTCCCTGTGTGCAGTCCTGGGGACCCTGGGGGGATATGGGGGGACATTCCCTGTGTGCAATGCTGGGGACACTGAGGGGATATGGGGGACATTCCCCTGTGTGCAATGTTGGGGACCCTGGGGGGATATGGGGGGACATTCCCTGTGTGCCATGCTGGGGACACTGGGGGGATATGGGGGGACATTCCCTGTGTGCAATGTTGGGGACACTGAGGGGGATATGGGGGGACATTCCCTGTGTGCAGTCCTGGGGACCCTGGGGGGATATGGGGGGACATTCCCTGTGTGCAATGCTGGGGACACTGGGGGGATATGGGGGGACATTCCCTGTGTGCAATGCTGGGGACACTGAGGGGGGGATATGGGGGGACATTCCCTGTGTGCAATGTTGGGGACACTGGGGGGGATATGGGGGGACACTGAGCAGTCAGGGGGGGCCCTAAGGCCTATGAGGGGGCTGTGGGGGCTCTGTGGGGGCACTGGGGCAGACTGGGGGGCTATGGGGGCACTGGGGGGGGT